GGGGTTTACTTTAGAATAGGTAGGGGTATGAGACTCTGCATAATCATTGCACTAGTTAACAATGAGGGAAGTATTAGGATGATGTTCTTATATATATATATATATATATATACTAGTCCTCGAAACGTGCATCGCACGTTTGTCCCCTAATTGATATTAGAAAATTTTAATTTATATAGCAAAGTTCAAATCTTAGTCCTTTCATATGAAAGTTTAACTTAAGAATATAATTCTGAACAAAATATAACATGAAAATCTTGTGTTAGATGTTGGAGGTTTGATATATGAAATACATCATGAAAAATAAACATTTTATTTTATCAGAGGAATCAATATATTTTAATTATTAAAATGATGTTCCAATAATCAAAAAAGAAATTGTCTATAAAAAAAGATAAGTATCGAGAAACATATTACAAAATGTTTGGGCGGTATACCATAAAAGTTATAGAAAGACAAGGCATCCATTATAAAAGACATCACATTAAAATATATAGACAAAAATATTTCCATACTAATTGAATTACATTTTTTTAAAAGTAGACTTATTCTAATATATATATATATATATATATATATATATATATATATGAATTCTAAAATAATATTATTCAATGTATCATTTAGTCATTTTTTACTATACATTATTTTTTTTTATTTTAATTTTGCAATTATTTTTTACCTCTCTAGAGAAGTTAAGTACATGAATTTTTTGAACATTTGAGATTACATATAAAAAGGAAAACGTACAAATATGTTGGTTTAAAAAGATAAATGATTATCAAACTATGAAAAAAACGTAATTATTATTCTATGGGATTTAACATGTTTACCGTTAAAATAGTTGATGATAAATACAAAATGTGATTATCTTTACTATATATATCCTAAAAATAGAACAAAGTATGAATACAAAAATACAGTAATCAATTACAAAGTTATATTTAAAAACTCAAAACGATGGAGATGTGAAAAATAAATATTTACTTACAACTTCATATAACTATCATAATTTACATATTTCTCAACAAAAAGAAGACTAATATGCATGAAATTTTAAAGAATACAAATAAATAAAATATTAAGTTTATAATCACAAACTAGTAATGAATATTTTACAAGGGATGTAGAATAACCTACTGTAGTATGTAAGATGATTACAAACTTATAAAAACAAGGAATATATATAATGTGGTGTGAGTGTGTTTGATAGACTCTTCATTACCCCACTTATCATACAAATTAATGTTGTAAGGTTATTAGACTCTTCATTGTCTACAATTAATTAGTACATGAATATATGATGCATTAAGATCTTATTTGATGCATGAATTTAAATATAAATTTTACTTAATATTTAATTAATTCAATAGATATTAATATTAATTTATTTTAGAGGTAAAATAAGGGTAAAATGGTAATTCAACTTTGAGGTTAGAAACTTCCCACTTATAATAATAATAATATTAATAATAATAATTATATATTTATATATTCTTATAATGGTATATGATATGTATATGATGTTCTTTCATATTGGTGATACTAAATGAGGATTGTTTTTACTTATGAATATGTGTTTGGTCTCTATTGCTAAAAAATGGTGATATGTACTCGAAATGATATGCTATGAGAAGTTGGACATAGGTTATGGTTCTTGTTGGGTTTACTTGAATGAGTAAGATTATGGGGATTTACTTAGTCATTGCACTACTTGACTTAATGAGGGTTCATGAGTAATGGTCTTTCTTTGGTTATTTTGTAACGAACCCTTATTCATGATTTTTGATGTTATAACTTGATGGAGTTGTCTTGATTATGTGCTCAAATGTGTTGATATGCATGTTGGCTTGACTAGACTTATTTTTGGTCATTAAATTATGATCTTTTTTTGGCTGCCCCAAATTTGTATACTCTTAACCTGCATATATCAAGTATACACATCTTTTCTCCGTTAGATACATATATTTGCAACAAAACTCTGATAGAAATTGTAATTTGAAATTTTGGTTTTTTCAATGTTTCATCAGGATCAATAGTAATGTGTGTTACATGGTTTTCATACGTACCCCATATAAGTACCATATTAATTTGTGTAGCTTAAAATAATACTAATACCAATAAAATTGCACACAAATATTTGGATATTATGTTTTTCATTAAAAGACATCAAATATAGGTAGAGTTGAGTTAAAAAATATTACCTGAACCCTATCCCAATAACGAGTTTGGTTGGGCCAACGTTATTTTTGTGGCACTAAGCCTTTTTGTGACGCTTCTCTTTGAAGTTTGACCTAAAATTTTCTATTTCCTCTAACTTTTTACAATTCACTGCTTTAGTTTCACACTGATTCCTTCTTTCTCTTCGCCGATGAACTTTATGAAGTTATAACTCATCTAGCTATGCCAATGTTCGTCTTTAATGTAGAAGATTATCATCTTAATTGTATGCTTATGAAGTATGTTGCTAAGCTATATGAGGGAAAAACCGAACTGCTCTTCATCATAGATTAGAGGATGAAACAACTTTATCGTTAACATCTCATCCGTATCATTTACCAAAAATATAGGTAATGTTTTCTTTCATTTTCGTAAATCCAAAGTCGATGTATTTCAACCCATAAATGGTACTAAGGCCATCATCTAGATCTGGATCTTTTAAAAAGGAATTCTAGTCAATCATATAGATCTTGATCTTTAAAAAAGGAATTCTAATCAATCATCTAGATCTGGATCTATGAAAAAGCAATTCTAATGAATTGTTTTCTTAGTCTCTCTTGTCTCATCGTGCTGCTTAGCTATTGAAGTTAACTAAGTATCACTCTCTACATGTCTGAATATCTAGCAATCATGTATCAATATCTACTTTTAAGACATTTTTGATATGAAAACAAAATCTAAGATGACAAAGAAAAATACTTTTGTCACATATATTTTTTATCATATGAGACATCTTAAACCGTCGGTCAATTTCAGAAAAATGGAAACTGATTCGACCGGAAGCTGCTCTTGCCTTTATCACTGCGTGCTCTATGACTGCTTGCTCAGGTTCTGGTGGATGATACTTTACCAACAAAATCTAATCATGGAAAATGAAAAGAAAATATAGCTAACACCATATATGATTATTAACATCTAAAAGTCTATAAACTAGTAGACTGATTTGAAATTTTGAAATGAAGAAAATCAAACACAAATCGCTAGTAACCTAAATTTGAGATTTTCTTCAACATGGTACTAAATTTAAAAATTTGCCAGAAAAGGGAAGAAGAAAAAAATATGTTGTACCAAGATTCTGAATCAATTGTTATTCAAATAAATTTTATTCACACATTTAGCTCTAATTAGCTTAAATAAATGGCGAATAGGCACACACATTTTTCCATAGATTGCTGAAAATTTATATTAAGTCATCTGCATTACTAATCCGACTTGGCATCTTTTCTCTAGTGTGGAAACGATTTTTTGTTTTCATGAACTGTGCATACCTCAGTTTATCTTTTATCAACTCCCCTATGCTGATCCAGATTATCAAATCTAAACTCATTAACCCATTATTTATTGTTATTCCATTTATCTTAGTAATTTTACCGATGAGTTTGATTTGTTTTATTGTTGATCTTGCCAAGTACGTTTCATATACAGCCAATCATAAACAACTTGACAGCTTGAATCACAATATCTCGAATGAATGAATCCTTGTTTATGGTGGTCAATGTTTTTCTCCCAATATACACTCTTTCACGTATCTTTCATACATATTTCACATTAATATTATTATCTTTGGTTCAAGTAGATATCCTTTTCCGCTGAGTTCATACCAATTACTAAAGTTCTTATCTTTGGTTCAAGTTTTTTTTTTGACATAGGATTTTATCCCAATATCAGTATGCCCTGTTACTACAGTTTTTAGAGGTTGTGTGAGATTGAACGTTTTGATGTTCTTCACACATGCAAGATATTTTCCTTCAATAGATGAGGTTCACATTTAAAATTCTTTTTATAGGACGAATGGTTGTTTTCATAGTGGTGAACGAGGAGTTAATTAATACAAGTGGGACTTATATATAGGTATCATTGTAACGCTGATGATATAAGGTTAGCTTAGCACATTTAAAAAGGAAATGAGGATGGACTATTCTTTAGTAGTCTGGCATTCGAAATTGTGGGCCTTAATTGAGGATGCAGAGACTGGATTTACTTACCAAGTTTATAAGTTGTGACCTGAGTTTCTTCAGAAGGTCTCATAACTCGAATAACATTCTGTCTTTTAAATTTGATTATAGCTTTGTTCAATCATTCCTAAGATATATATATAGGAGTAGATTATAGAGGAATGTAAAAGTATTACTATATTAGAGCAATAACATGAGCAAATAATGAGAACTTTTAATAAAGGTTCCTTAGCATCATTACTAACCAGAAAAGTTCCATTCTTTTAATAACATACCATAAAAATTAATTAACACTTCAATCAAGTTTCAATCATGATGTACTCATAATATCCACTGACAAAATTTAGTAAAATAGATAACAATAACATAAAAACCAAAAGATATGGATATGTAAAGTTATTAACTATCAGATTATTTTTTGAAGAACACTAAATCTCATCCTTGTAAGTGAAGGAATGACGTTTTTGATGAAGAAATTATAGATTTGTAACGGTTTGTTATTGTTCCTTCAACAATTTATGTAGAGAAAACTTGCGTGAATACCCAATTAACGTTTGTTATTTAATGTGTACTAACAAATAATTATAACAATAACTTTTCATAAATGTAAACAACCAAGTTCAAAGAATGTACTGTAATGACCCCGAAAGTTATTTTTAATAATTTTGAACTATTCATTGACTTTAGTTAATTATTTCATGGGTAATTGTGGATAATTGACTTAATTGATAGTTAATGGACTAAAGTATCATTTATTTAAGATCTTATACCATTTGTTCCATATAATTAAATTAAGTTAGTAAAATTTATCACTTTTAGTATATATTTATTTTAGAAAAAAAAAAGGAAAGAAGAAACACTAACCTGTGCAACCCGGCTGCCGGCATAGGAATTGACTTCTGCACATTAGGTAATATTTCAGTTGATCTATTAAAGTATATAGTTATAGGTTATATTATTATTAATAATATTATAATATAAGATAGTGAAACAAAAAGGAGTACAAAAGAAAATAAAGGAAATGAAATTACCTGGAAAACGATGGTCGGCATGGGAATCGCTTAAGCTTTGATCGAGGTAAGTTTGAATCCTGCATTAATTTGTGTATTTGTGAATATGTTATGCTTAGAGGTCAAAATGTAATAAATTATTATTATTATTATTATTATTATTATTATTATTATTATTGGTAGATCGAGAAAGAGGAATAAGCAAATTTTGGATTGGAATCTATATGCTCGATTATCATATATATATATAACTACAGTGGGTGGACTTTGGTTATTTTGTTTCTGGAATAATCATTATGTAGTCATTTCCAATTGATTGTTAAGTTAATGGTTAAAGTGAATTGAGATTTTGAGCTATATTTTTTTATTACTAGCACTTATAAATTGTTGGATGATTCAAGTGGAAATTATAGGATGGAAATTATGGCAAAAGATTGGGGCAGCAAGTTTCTGCCAGTGATTGCTTATATCAATTGTCATTATTGGATAATGATTACCATCATGGCATATAGGTTTGAAAGGAAAAACATGAATTAAATTGGATTCATCTTGTTGGTGCAACGATAGATTATTTGAAAGTTATTAATTTTCTTGAAATTCTTCTTTTTATTTTGTTAAATTGATGATACTTTGAGAAATTTGAACTTGATCCTAGATTTAAAATTCATAAAAAAAACATGTGAGTTGACATGTTAATTGACATCAAAATTTAGGAAATTGATTTTTGATTTGGGTAAGTTTTTAAATATAGACTAAACCAATAGTAATATGGGTGTTGTTCGTTTCGAAATATTATCCTCAGTAAATATTTTGATAGATTGCATTGGTTTGGAAGCCCAACGAAAGCGAAGGCTTGAATTTTGGAGTCATTGTTCGACTACTTGAGGCAAGTGGATTTCTAGACTCTTGTTAAGTGTATGAAATACGTGTATGTCTTTGTGGTATATGTTTGGGAGTAATGGGATTGGTGATGGTTTGACTTGTCCACATTGATTAATTCTAATGATGAAAAGAATGAGGATAACAAAAGGGCAATGTGATTAATTGTTTATGTGTGTTGTGTTGAGAAATGGTTGAAGGCTTGTTGAATCATTGTTGATGTAACTTCATGTTTGTGTTGTTGTGAACTGTGCGATGTTATGAAAATGGTAATCTCCTCATTATTTGTGTGAACTTGTCATCTGCATTATTCTGAGGCATTGGTTATGATAAGTGTTATGTGCATTGAGAATGAATGGGTACTTAAGAGGATGTACCATTTCGAGGGATGTATCGTGCGCCGCGATGGATACTATATTTCGAAAGACGTATCGTGCGCCGTGATGGTTACTATTATCGAGGGTCGTGTCGTGCGCCGCGACAGATGCATGGACGGATATGTCCCCCATGGGTCCCAGACTGAGAGACAACGCGTGTGTATCATTAGGTCAGACATGCATCATTATACTTGACATTGCATTTCATTGCATTGCACATACTTATTATTAGTGAACATGATATCGTGTTTTGCTGATCTTCTGATTGCCTCCTGTGGAACTTGTGATAGATCAATATTGAGCTTGTTATTGCGGATATGTAATTTGTTGAAGTATTATTGTTGAGGATATGTAATTCGTTAAAGTGTTGTTGTTGAGGATATGTAATTTGTGTAACTATTGTTTTTTTTGAGTTACGTGCTATGTATTAAGTTACGTACTATGTAAATTATGAGATGTTAGGTTTGGCTGATGTTTATGCAAGTTGTAGTTGTGGAGGTTCGGTTGGGGTGGTAGGAGTACCCGTATTTCATCCCCTTAGCTTGTGTTTAGAGGTTTACTTGCTGAGTACCGTGTGGTTTGGTACTCACCCCTTGCTACTACAAATTTTTTTGTAGGTTATGAGCCTGGATTTTTGTTGTACTTGTCATTCTCTTCTTTTCCGAGACTTCTTGGAGATTTGTGAGGTAGCTGTTTCCATCTCAGCAGACTTTCTTCTCCACAATTATGATCTTGTTCTATTCTAGAAACAAGTTCATTTGAGACTTGAGTTTTTCTTTTGAATCAATTGTAATACTTTAGAGACTTGTACACGTGACTACAAGGTTTTGGTGTTTTTATTAAGTTACTTATATTTTATTTCCGCACTTATTGTAATGATTGAGTTTTAGGCTGACTTGTCTTGGTGGGAAAAGACGAGTGCCATCACGTCTGTTTTTGGATCGTGACAACATGGTATCAGAGCCCCAGGTTTATAGGTCTCACGTGTGTACAAGTCGAGTCTAAATAGAGTCTCGATTATCGGTACGGAGACGTCTGTACCTATCTTCGAGAGGCTATAGTGACTTTTAGGAAATATCTTCACTTCTTGGATCTCTTTGGTGCGTACTTGGTCCCATTTTGATTGTTATCGCTTCACCCCATTCGCTTTCGTTTATATGATGACTCGTGCGTAGTTCCTTTTGTGAATCATTGACATGTCATGTATTGGTTTGATGTTAGATTTAGTATTAAGGTGGAAATGATATACTTATGAAACGAATGTGTGATTATATTTGAAAACGTTGAGCAAGGTTTGTTATTATTGTAAAATAATAATAATAAATATAGTACTTATCTTGTATAAGCAATATATGGAGTGGATGTGTTAAGAATTATTTATAAGGAAGCATTTAGTGGTGGATCTTTGGTATGATATTGATACATTCAAGTTGTGATATGTATTTTGTGGATTGTAAATGAGTGTCGATTTCATCGTTAACTCCATGGAAGTGGAAATATGGATGATAAGCTTATAAGTAAAGGAAGTCTCAAAAAGTTATACTTGTGTGAATTTAATTGAGAATTTTAGTAAGAAAGTACATATAAATTGTGTAAGTACCTTGGATGGTTGGCATAGCTAGGTTTGGATTGTCATGTTAATGGCAATGATAAATTTGTAGTGAGGGAAATGACGAACTAAGCATGATGATTATAAAATTGTATGACGCATTATGATTGAAATGCAACTATATGATACGGGTGTTGGTTAAAACGATCTTTTATGGTAATTATGAATTTTGAGTTTCTATGGTTATGGTTGTTTCTATTTCATAAGTACTGTGGTTTTATGGTAATTTTTATAAGGAGTTGGGATTTCATCGAATAAAATTGAAAGGGGCTAGAGCCATAATGGAAAGAATTAGTGGTATATAGTTTAATTTTCATGACCGAGCATTAATCTAGGCTATTTTACTTTGGTTGCAAGGGTTAAGGATGTATCTTCAGAGGAATTTGGAGAATTGGGTTCAGAGACAAGTGATTTTACCTGTTTCTTCCAGATTATGATATAATATAGTGTGACAAGATCAATAGATTGATTAAAAAAACTATTGGATAAAACTTGAGAAAGGAGTACGGACGTTCAACTCGAGTATCATGATTAGTTCTTTTGTGGTTTTGATTTGGTGAGGAGTATGATAAGATTCTTAGAAAAAGATATGGTAGAGTCAATGAAGAGGCAATCAATGATAACTAAAATACGTTAAGTAATTTTTTTAGGTATGAGCTAATATTGTCAGATAATGGGATTGTGTTACATGGTTGGGATCAAAACTTCAAGTTTACATGGTGAGTTTTGATTTATGATAATGTATCTTGTAAAGGTATGAATTGGTAAGGTAAGAAATGATCGATCACATTGAGTATGAAGCATTTAGAAGGACTTAAAATTTGAGCAGTTCATTTGGTTACTTTTGGTAGTTATACCTAAGGTTTCCCATATTGTTGGTCAAAAAAAAAACGACTTGTAAGTGAGTTAGCAAAAAGGAGAGAAATTATGGTGTATTGAAGAGTTAAAGTTATTTGAAATTTCCGTCATGGAAAGATTTTATGAAAGGCAAAGGAACAATAAGATCTCTCGTACAATCATTGGATTCGGAGGTGATGGTTGTAGCGATTTCGCCTTTGAGTTTAGATGTGACTATGAGATGTGAACTAGTTCAGCACCTACTTACTATGGATTTGTTATTAACTTTTCTAAATATTAAGTTTTGATGGTTACAATAAATGACGTATGGAAGATTATACATGGTTATGTCGAGCTAGATTGTTCAGAATGTGATTAAGTAACAAATGGATGTTAAATAGTGTGGACCTACAGTTTTACATGATTAATGAGGATTTCAAGGAGATTGAAATTACTTTGTTGATTGGCCAATACAGACTATTATGATCTGTTACATTAGCATTTGATGGTGATCAGAGATAATGAACTTATGGTATACTAAGTAAATTGGGTGATCAATTTTTTTTGTAAGTGTTGATATAAGATATATAATTACTTTGTATATTAGTTTAAATTTGGTATGTGAAATATTGCGTAGAGTAGCGTTGGGTGTGCTTCAATTATTTTACCTCGATGAAAAGTATTATTGACTTGGAAGTAGTTCTATCAATCTTATGTGTGATGCGTATCTTTCACAGAACGTTTAAATGGAAAGAGAGAGCGCCATTGTTTCAAATTTTGGAGGTGGTAATGTATTTTTTTAAGGAGACTTTAATACTAGCAACAGTTTGAGAGTAAGGTAAATGACTGGTATATTTATGATGATTGTTGGTTTTAAGAGCGTTGAATTCAATGGAGTACTTGAGAAGTATGTGGGGTTCGATGAATCTAGTATTTGTAATATTGTAATGGGGTCAGTTTGGTTGATTGTTGGTAGCTAAAAGAAGAAGTCGAGAGATAGAGTCAAATGAAATAATTTTATTTATATGGGCATAATGGAAGAATTTTTATATGACAACTTTCTTCGTACTAGATATTATCTGGAGTATGAATCACTGCTTATGCTACTCGTGTTTTCACATCTATGGGTGAATCCCTAGTGGTGGATCGATGTACCGATCCTCTTGTTTCCTCTTGTTAGGGTAGGATCCTTGGGAAAACTCAGTCATTTAAGTTATGATGGATTTGGTATTGTTTGGAATAGTTGAAATGTATCAATAGTTCTATTCACACAACCTTGCTTATGAGAACTTATATAAGAGCTACTATGAGTTACAATTGTCTAATAGTGTTGTTACAGGTTCTGCTTTTTGAGTTATATTGCTTGTTGAGTGATTACTTGATCAATTCATTCCTTGACTTAGATAAGTTTGATTCCCCCTTGATGAGTACTCAATGTCAAAAAAAATCAGATTTTATGATTTAATTTCGTGAAAAGATTGTGTTGTGAAAGAGAAATCTTGATAATATATGTAATGGTTTGTGCATTATGAGTGTTTAGTGATTGATTCAGGCTCACTTCTAGTTGTAGTCAATATTGATTCGGATGGTTATCTTGGTTATGTGAAAATAAATATATATTCATCATGATGGTTGTGAGTTAATGTCCAATGAGTTTCAGTTTAGATTAGGTTCATGAGTTAGTTGGTGGCCTGATAATCACACTTAACTTATAGATCTTACAAAGTTTGTTTAAAAGTTCAGTTATTAGTAGTTGATTTTGATGGAATGATTTTAAGGATGAGCTCACTTAGAGAGATAAACACTGACAGTTAGGTCATAACTCACGCTTTTGGTAATATCAATTACTCTTAGTTCTTCTTCATTATGTTCGAGGACGAACATGATTTTTAGTGGTGGATAATGTAATGACCCAGAAAGTTATTTTTTTAAAATTTTGAACTATTCATTGACTTTAGTTAATTATTTGATGGGTAATTGTGGATAATTGACTTAACTGATAGTTAATGGACTAAAGTATCATTTGTTTAAGATCTTATACCATTTGTTCCATATAGTTAAATTAAGTTAGTAAAATTTATCACTTTTAGTATATATTTATTTTAGAAAAAAAAAAGGAAAGAAGAAACACTAATTTGTGCAAACCGGCCGCCGGCATAGGAATTGACTTCTGCACATCAGGTAATATTTCAGTTGATCTATTAAAGCATATACTTATAGGTTATGTTATTATTAATAATATTATTATATAATATAGTGAAACAAAAAGGAGTACAAAAGAAAATAAAGGAAAAGAAATTACCTGGAAAACGATGGTCGGCATGGGAACCGCTTAATCTTTCATCGAGGTAAGTTTGAATCCTGCATCAATTTGTGTATTTGTGAACATGCTATGCTTAGAGGTCAAAATGTAATAAATTATTATTATTATTATTATTATTATTATTATTATTATTATTATTATTATTGGTAGATTGAGAAAGGAGAATAAGCAAATTTTGGATTGGAATCTATATGCTCGATGATCATATATATAACTACAGTGGGTGGACTTTGGTTATTTTGTTTCTGGAATAATCATTATGTATTCATTACCAATTGATTGTTAAGTTAATGGTTAAAGTGAATTGAGATTTTGATCTATATTTTTTTATTACTAGCAATTATATACTGTTGGATGATTTAAGTGGAAATTATAGGATGGAAATTATGGCAAAAGATTGGGGCAGCAAGTTGCTGCCAGTGATTGCTTATAACAATTGTCATTATTGGATAATGATTACCATTATGGCATATAGGTTTGAAAGGAAAAACATGAATTAAATTTGATTCCTCTTGTTGGTGCAACGATAGATTATTTGAAAGTTATTAATTTTCTTGAAATTCTTCTTTTTATTTTGTTAAATTGATGATACTTTGAGAAATTTGAACTTGATCCTAGATTTAAAATTCTTAAAAAAAACATGAGAGTTGACATGTTAATTGACATCAAAATTAAGGAAATTGATTTTTGATTTGTGTAAGATTTTAAATATAGACTAAACCAATAGTAATATGGGTGTTGTTGGTTTCGAAATCTTATCCTGATTAAATATTTGGATAGATTGCATTGGTTTAAAAGCCCAACGAAAGCGAAGGCTTGAATTTTGGAGTCATTGTTCGACTACTTGAGACAAGTGGATTTCTAAACTCTTGTGAAGTGTATGAAATGTGTGTATGTCTTCGTGTTATATGTTTGGGAGTAATGGGATTGGTGATGGTTTGACTTGTCCACATTGATTAATTCTAATGATTAAAAGAATGGGGACAACAAAAAGGCAATGTAATTAATTGTTTATGTGTGTTGTGTTGAGAAATGGTTGAAGGCTTGTTGAATCATTGTTGATGTAACTTCATGTTTGTGTTATTGTGAACTGTGCAATGTTATGAAAATGGTCATCTCCTCATTATTTGTGTGAACTTGTCATTTGCATTATCCTGAGGCATTGGTTGTGAAAAGTTTTATATGCATTGAGAAAGAATGGGTACTTAAGAGGATGTACCATTTCGAGGGACGTATCGCGCGCCGCGATGGATACGATATTTCGAGGGACGTATCGTGCGCCGCGATGGTTACTATTATCGAGGGCCGTGTCGTGCGCCGCGACAGATGCATGGACAGATATGTCCCCCATGGGTCCCGGACTGAGAGACAGCGGGTGTGTATCATTAGGTCAGACATCTATCATTCTACTTGACATTGCATTCCATTGCATTGCACATACTTATTATTAATGAACTTTATATCGTGTTTTGCTGATCTTCGATTGCATCATGTGGAACTTGTGATAGATCAATATTGAGATTGTTATTGCGGATATGTAATTTGTTGAAGTATTGTTGTTGAGGATATGTAATTCGTTAATGTGTTGTTGTTGAGGATATGTAATTTGTGTAAGTGTTTTTTTTTTGAGTTACGTGCTATGTATTGAGTTATGTGCTATGTAAATTGGGAGCTGTTAGGTTGGGCTGATGTTTATGCAGGTTGTAGTTGTGGAGGTTCGGTTGTGGGTGGTAGGAGTACCCGTATTTCATCCCCTTAGCTTGTGTTTAGAGGTTTACTTGCTGAGTACCGTGTGGTTTGGTACTCACCCCTTGCTACTACAAATTTTTTTGTAGGTTATGAGCCTAGATTTTTGTTGTACTTGTCATTCTCTTCTTTTTCGAGACTTCTTGGAGATTTGTGAGGTAGTTGTTTCCATCTTAGCAGACTTTCTTCTCAATAATTATGATCTTGTTTTATTCTAGAAACAAGTTTATTTGAGACTGAGTTTTTCTTTTGAATCAATTGTAATACTTTAGAGACTTGTACACTTGACTACCAGGTTTTGGGGTTTTTATTAAGTTACTCATATTTTATTTCCGCACTTATTGTAATGATTGAGTTTTAGGCTGAGTTGTCTTGGTGGGAAAAGACGAGTGCCATCACGTCCGTTTTTGGATCGTGACATGTACTAAAAAACAAAAATTAATAATGTAAGCATAAGTAACGATTGTAAAAAATTTACCAGGATCTTCAAAAACAGAATGAAACAGAATGGAGAAAATAAAGCCATTGAATGCACAATGCTCCTTCAGGAAATTATTCTCCTCTAGTAACATGTTTACTAGAAGTAAATCATTTAAAGAAATAAAGATTCTATGCACAACTATATTGATACAAAGATAATGGTTTGAGTGAGCCATTCAACCAGAGAAAGTAAACAACTCTGTAATTTCCCATAAGAAGAGAGGAAGAAGTAGTACAAAATTTTCATTGTTTTAAAATAAGAGGGAATTCCTCTATTTTTTTAACAACTAATGGAAGTGCGAACAAATGATAATTGTGTCTTATCGAAAGGTTACAACTCTTTGAAAATGTTACAATCCTTTGAAAGGACACACCCTTTTATAAAAATAAAAAATTTTCATAAAAGAGGCAAATTCTTCATTAAAGTCACAACTTTTCGAAAAGGTTTGTACTCTTAGATAAAGTTACAACCCTTCAAAAAGTTTATAACCTTTCATAAAATGGCACAACTTATCATAATAGGCACAACTTCTCATCAAAGGTGAATAGAAATTTTTGAAATAAAAAAATTAAAAAAGGAATCCTGATTTGTGGCGGCGCCACGTAGGTGGTTTTTGTAACACCCGTAGCAAAAGCAAACCAAAAATTAGTTTTTTCAGAAAAATCAGCAAGTGCTACCAACAGTTGAATCAACGGACAGTAGCCTGAACCATGGGCCGTCATACACAATCGTCGATGGGATCAGAAACTCCCAAAAATTTCATCCTCGAAAAAGTGGTTAAGTCTTGAACGGCGGGAGGACTTATGGTGCGTAGGTCAACGAAGGTCCGTAGTCCGTGAGCATCAATCAAGACTCCCTTCAAACGCTCTCTGACAAGAGCTATGGATGACAAACATGGTTTGTAGGTGGAACTACGGTCCATAGGTCTGACCGTAAGTGAAAATTTGAAGCTAGTTAAGGGGAAATGTTGTTTGGCCAACTTAAATGATCATAACACTTAGCACAAAATAAATTAGGTCTCCCATGACCTACCCACAGATACATAATTAAATTATCATTGCTTAGCCACCGACCTTGCTAAAATAAGTCCTCCGACTAAAAAGTTATTCTCATTTTACTAAAGGCCTGTCAAAAGGGCCCTTACGATGGACCCAACAATGGGGCGTCGGGCGCACGACGTACAGTCAGTCCTGGCTATCGTGAAGGCTGGCTGTAACCTTCCCAGGGGTCTTTTTGACGTTTCCCACTCTGTTTAAACCCTAAGTTACATATTTTTTACTATAAATTATCAGATCTTAGTCTGTTTAAGTCTAGAAACATAATTAAAACATATCCAAGTCAAATCATTAAATCAAAACATAGAAAATTAGAAGGAAGATAGGAGAAAAAAGCTCAAGAACCCTAATTAATGAATTCCAAAAGCTCCAACTGTTCGTGCACCGAAACATGTATTTTTCCTTGGATTTCATCACCAGGTATGTGGGATTTCACTAGTGGGTTCCTTTCACCCATTGGGTCCTTAGTTTCTGTCAGTTCTTGATTATCTTATCATGATTAAACCTAGGGTTTCTAAAACTTTGATATAACTTCATTGATTTATTAAATATATGTTCCAAATCAGATTATCATGTTATTACTCTGATTATCGCTTGAATTTCAGAACCCTACCTTTGTATTTCTTTAGTTCTTGAATTACACATGCTAGGTCATATATTTCAAACACTTCAGATATACATGCCTCCATTATAAATGCATAATTACCAGATTATTTGTTGCATTTTCATTTTGCATGTTCAGTTTTGAGGTATCCAGTATTTGCAGAAATTCAGATATAATCGGTTAATTTACAAAATTCATTTGGATTAGCATAATACCGAGTAGGACTAGGGTTTAACGTAGCCAATAGTCCTAGAACTAATCGCCAAGTAGGTTAGAAGTCCCCTCTGTGGGAAATCACTTTAGTGATAATGACAACATGCCTTTATATCTTTGGCAGTGTATCGATGGGTCGTATACATCTGACTCCAAATTTAGCTCATGTGGTTTTATTATCGGTTATTAGTAGCTCCCATAGTTAAGTCAGACTCTCTGCATTGGCCATTTATCAGAATATTCATTATTAAGTTTCAACATGTTATAAATTTGTTATTGCATCAAGTTAGCTCAGAAATCAGCATATCACGTTAAAATTATTATACTTGTTTTTCTTCTTGTTTATTTATGTTTTATTTCAGCTTTAGTCTATCCTACATGCACAGTACTTTTCAAGTACTAATGCATACGTGCGCTACATCTTCTCGTGATGTAGGTTTAGGTTCTCAGCATCAACATCACGTATAGATCGATTTCTCAATCTCCAGTTCAGCAGATTCAGTTGTGAGTCCTCATTCTCCAAGGACAACAGTCATGATTTTCATTTCAGTCTTTAGTCATTGAGTTTTATTTTTCGCTAGATTTATCTAGGACTTATCCCAGTAATTGTAGTCTAGTTTAGAGGCTATTTTAAGACATAATTAGATTCAACTTAGTATTGTGTTAATATTTCGTTTGTATTAAACTCATTGTTTTCAAATATCTGAGTTATAGAATATGGGTATTCCCCATCTTTTCATTTTAAGTATGATTTAGCTTCAACAACAGTTTATTATCTTTAGTATGCTAATTATTATGCCAGCAGGGTTAGATTGGGATCACTTGTGGTCCTAGGTTCCGTGTTCGCGTCTCGGGTGTAGCTCGGGGCGTGACAGGTTTAGGGGTCTCTTTTATATATATACTAGGTAAATTATTGATTCTTCACACGAGATTGAACTATTATATGAAGAATACATATGATCATTCAATAAAAATCATATTTTCTATACACACGCTACATTGTAAAAAAAAATTGAAGGCAAAGCATTCTTTGAAATAATAAAGGTCTATTTCTTCATTTTTATTATATAAAAATATGAGTCATAGAGAGATTTAAGTATAAGAAAAAAGAAAGAAGTCTCAATGTCAGAAATAATAAAATTTTCACATTTCCAAGAAGTTATAAAGAAGAACATCATACATTAAAGAAAAGACCAAAAATCCTAGAAAAACAACATTCCCAGGTGAAGTTGAAAATTACGTCCATACAGAAACATAATTAACTGAGTTCAAATGGAGGACCTTTGACTCCTTTAATATTAACCTCCATTAATATCTTTTTTATTATAGTAGGTCCTATCATGTATATATTAAAAACGAGCCTAAAATTGTTAATCCGTATCATAAATGGTTTTTCTCATTGTCTCATAATAATCATTAATATTGCTTAACTTTTATATCACCGACCCTAATTTATTTGTAATTGAACCATCGTATTTGTTATGGTTATATTATTGTGACATCTCGCAACTCGAAATATCTTAGGAACTAAAAATAATCATTCTTTAAAAGAAAAAAGAATAATCAGGAAAATTTGTCTAAGTTAAGAAAGTGGATTTGACCATTTGCAGACGACATAACTTCTAGCTCATGATGCGTAAAGGTATTTATTGATATTGTTAAAAAGTTCTTGGAAAAATCTTTCTTACTCCACCGAGTTTGCGCGATTTTAATACTGTATGAGTGAGTTATGCCCTTCAGGAGTTGGGCCGTTGGATTTGGGAAAGTCTCAATCCAGATTTATGGAAGGAAAAACTAGTCTTTTCACTAATAAATTTCCAATTTGTTTTTAGAGGTTATAAACGTAAAAAAAAGTCTTATATCACTTTGGAAAAGTCATAGTTACTCTAAGGGATTGGAGAAGAGAGAAAAGAAGAAAGAAAGGGAGATAAGGCAAGAATTCGTCAAGGACGTCTAGCTTTATGAGTGAAATTTGTCGAGGATGAGCCCTATAAATGTATTTGAGGATCTCATAACATTGGGATCTCCCACGTGCAAAATATATTATTTTAGTGAAGAATTAAAGTTAGAAGAAAACATGAGGTAAATCAGAGAAGTCATTTCATATTTTCATAAGTCTTTTAAAACCATTTAAACTTTGTTCTAAGACTGAAGTTTTGAGTTAAATAAAGAGTGTAGTTTGAAGTGATTTCTTCAAACAAGTACATGGGGACTATATATTACCCAAGAGGTTTAAAAGAATTTTTTTCACATTCCAACAATACTGGAAACGGAGATTTCCAAAGAGAATTCGGGCTAGTTTTTTTAAAGAGTAATAACCTTTCTAAATGATGTAAGTAGGGAAATTGAGATTTCCAACATAGCCTTGAGAAAAGTTTTTTGAGCAATAATCTCAAACCACAAAATAAGTATGATTTAGAAACATAGAAGCCAATATATTTTGGGAGTAGTAGTGGGAAACGATATGAAGGAGATTTCAGACAACTCACATTCCCCCTAAACCATGTAGCCATAATGGGTAGAAAAGGGTCATACTTTTTAGATGAAGCGTATTCACAGTAGACTAGTGGATCCATTAGGCAGTTAAGGTCTTATACCTTTGGCCATGTAAAGGATGCGCTGGCAACGTGAGGTAGATCGTTGAATCCTCACTATAGATCTTATGTGATGAATGTCGATTAGACAAACTCCCATATCAATTATTGTATTTTTATATACATCATTTGATTGTATTTTTATATAGATCTCAGAGTTTCTTGTATCTTGGCATACACACAATGTTTTGGCCATGTTTTTAACCAGTTTTTCTTTATATGTCCCTTATTTAAACCTTCATTATAATGAAATGAGTTTAGTAAGTATTCATAAGTTGAGAAGATTCAAGGTAAGTGTTCTTTCAGAATCTCTTTCTAGCCTATGGTGTTGTAGCATTCCATCTAATACTCGTATATTAAATTTAGTGATGTCAGTTCGCATGCATTGTATTATGATGCAGACACAGGTAATGAGGATCGTCATCCAGAGTATCGTTTATCCAGCATAGCACTCCATAGTCAGTTTGTGAGAATCCTTTCACTCCGGAGGACATCTTGTAGTGCTTTCTAGTGAGCTCTATAGGATGTTCTAAGGTTTGTCCCAACATCAATCTCAGTCAGTTTAGAGGCTTTATTGACCAATAATAGTTCATTAGTTTTTACATTTTCATTCTTATGTTAAAGACTTGGGTTGCCATGTTGGCCAAGTTGAATGTTGAATCATTAAGAAATTCCACTTATAGTATTACTTAGCTAAGATAAGTTCTTTTATTATTATAAGTGTGACTATCTTGTTCTGCTGAGTTAAGTAAGTCAGTTCAAGGGTCCACACGAGGTAAGCAATGGTCAACGAGTGTTAATCCCACTCAAGGTATAGGCTCATAGTGTGACAATTATGCAGTTACAAACAATTAATGCTATTATGAACCAAGCAGTAGGTGTTATCGAAATGACACTGTTCATAACTGGTTATTCTAAACCATGACACATAACATATCAAAATCTCACAATTTAATTTTGTGAGAGTTGAACTTAAAATATCATCCAATAATAATAAGGATGGCTTTTCTTTCTTAACAATAAAGAAGAAAATGATATTTTGGTTAACATATTTTTCAAAAAGATAGTCGGTAGTGCTATATCGATGTTTGAAGTTCACAAATTTAATTGAAAAAGTTTTAAAAATTAAAAAAAAATAACATAAAGAAATTGCAATCTATACGTGAATCACTATGAATAACAACAAAAGATTAAGCTTCATGAAATAGGAGGAAGAGAAATTTTAGAAATGAAACACGGTTCATATGAAGGTTAATTCATGTATTTGAATTTGACTCCCCTATACTGAAAAAAAACTACAAATAATAGTGGTAGAAATAAAAGTTTTGTTTACTGAAGAACCTAATGAAATTATTTCAATCATTTCAGCATCGTTATTAGTTGTGAACATGACAAGAGAAAGCGCAGTTATGTAGCATTTATATTAAAATTAATTTTCTTTGTTTATATGAAAAAGCCTATAGAAATGGACAAAACGGACGATCAATTTTCAATCTTTCTTGCTGAAATTTTTAACAAAGTTTAAAAAATTTCACCAAATAGCTAAAAGAAATTGATATAGTTACATGAATCAGTATGAATTATATTAAAGTAAATGAACTAAATAACCGACTAACATAATTGGCTGAAGTAAAGCACGAAGTATGAAACAAAATCATTAAAATCTTTAAAAGTAGGAACCAGTGATAGCAAAATACTTTACGTTCTTGTGGAGTTTCTCTAACTTACAACTATCACTAACAGTTTCGTGATGATAAATCATCTTAACCATGTTTCCAGAACCACCGTATACCTTCAAGGGATAGAGGAGGAACCTTAACTTTTGAATCCATCTAAAGGGCTTCTTGAGGATTGTGAGGAGTCACCCGAATTGCAATACGATCCTACATACACTGGTTGAGCAAGTTATGGTGTGTAAGTTATCTTAACTCTTATTCAAATTGGTACTCAATACTATTACCAAAATGTATGTATTAGTTCTCATATAATACTACTCATTAGATTGAGTTATTACTAAAATGTCCATCTTTAAAGGATTATTAATCATTAGACTAAAAATTCTTCTGAAAAACTAAATAAGCTCTTACTAAAATAGGAATACTTTTCTCCCTGCAAAAATAATACATTTGGAATCATAAGTGATCTTCTCAATTGATGGTTAAAATATACTTGGACATACATTAAATTTTGAAATCACTGTATGAAAATAATTACACGTTGGCCAAGTATGGTCCATACATACGTTGATGGGCCGTACTACCAAGTCGTAATAAAATAATCGGAGACTCAACTTTCTGAAAATCATACTCCTTGCTCATGGAATCCAATGTAAGACATAACATTTTCCTTAACTCCAGAAATGAAAACAAGACTTTCTCATATGGCCGTAAAATCTTCTTAGGTGCGTAGAAGGGCTTCTAAAATTAGTGCACCATAAATTTTCTACAACTTTTCAACTTCCAATTGACGTTTACAGTCCCGAAGTGGTACATTTATGTAGCATAACCCGAAGTTTTTGTAGTACAAAGAAGTGAAGGCAAGGTGCATAAGAGCAAAACTAAGATCTTAAGAGTAGTTTATACAATATATGCTAAAAAATTTCTCCTAAGGAACAAGAAAAACTAAGATCTTAAAAAAGAAAAAGTTTCCAAAGTTTATTTTAGGCAGTGGCAGTAAACACGCTGATGTACTTCCAAAATATACTAACAACAAAGGTTGTGGATGGAATAAGACCGGTTGAAGCTAGGAGTTATACAAAAACAATCATAGGACGTCTAAATTTTTCTGGTTCATTGTGTTATAATTGTAACACCTCGAAAAAGCAGAACTAGAAGAAAATGCAGAAAACTAGCTAAATCACTAAACCACGGCAGGGTTCACAACTCGTGAGAGGGTTCATTGTATGTTCAATTACCCGTGTCCTCACTTTGACTCCACCAGGCCCAGATGTCAGACCACAGGCACCATCACAGGTCGTGGTCATGTCAACGAACCGTGGAGGCATCTTTGAAGAGTGATGCAGTAGCTTTCACAAGCCTAGTCCTCAAACGCCCAATCCTAAGTGAGGACTGCGAGGAACTTCACAGGTCGTAGTTGCATCCGTGAAGGTTGGACTACTGATCCCCATAGCCATCCCCCTTCTACACTAAAACCCAAGTGAAGACCACAAACACTATCGTAGTTAGTGGTTCTTTACACAGACCGTAGTAGTGCCCGTGATCTTGGACCCTCAGAATTTATGTTCAAGTTAAGATCACGTCCGACATCATGATTTGTGGTCCCTATCACGGTCTGTGAAGGTGTCGTGGTCAGCCAGTCAAGTTTTTATGTAAGGGTATCTCAGACATTTCCATCTTTGTTAGAATTTTAAACCTCATTGTTTTAACCCTAATTTCAAAACATAGAAAATAAGAATCAAGAAAGGAGAAAGAGTTTACCATCCCTATGTAACACTCTGTACTCACAACATAGAAAAAATCAGACTGTCAGAAAAAATGAGGTCCAATCGATGGTTACCATCGACAGAACGTATTCTGGTCTACGGCTCGTACTGCAAGTCCGTAGATTGTCACTGTATCCTCCATAAAATTTAGCTCAACAAAATCAACAAATTCTCGACCCACGGACGGACTGATACTACGTAGATCAGACTACGGTAAATCGACGATGTTTGTTGATTGAGTCTCTTACTACCCAGCCTCTAACACAAGCGACGAATAATGAAAACGAACCTTAATTCGATCTACATTTTGTAGATATGACCGTAGGTGAAAATTCGCCGACAGTTGGGGGGAAATGTAGTTGTGTCAACTTCAAATGATCATAACTCTTAGCACAAAATAATTTTGGGTATCTCATCACATACCAAAAGATAAATAATATTATTATCTTTCTATAGTAACCGACTTTGCAAAAGTCAGACCTCCAACTAAAAAGTTATGCCCATTTTAGATAAGGACTGCCGAATAGACCGAACTTACGGACCAAAAAAATGGACCGTGGATTAAACGATGGTCCGTATGTACAGGTCGTTGTTTGGCCTGATAGCAATTAAATCAGGGGTCTTTTGGTGTTTTTCCACTTCGTTTAAACCCTAAGATACGTCATTTTGACCATAAATTATCATACATTAGTAAGTTTAAGCCTATAAACATAACTAAAAGTTACCTAAGTCAAATCATTAATAAATTTTTTTAGAAAATTAGAAGAAAGAAAGGAGAAAAGGGTCAAGAAACCAAGTTCAAGAACCCAAAAAGGTTTTATCAGTTCCAGCCCTGAAATCTAAATATTTCTCCGTGAATTTTATCACTAGGTTTGTGGGATTTCACTAGTGGGTTCCTTTCACCAATAAGATCCCTAGTTTTCAATCAGATTTTTGATTCCCATATCATGATTAGACGTACGGTTTCTAGAACTTCAACAGATGTTCATAAATAAATTAGTTATATGTTCCAAATCAGATTTCCATGTTATTATTTAGTTTATCGCATGAAATTCATAGCCGTAGCTATGTATTTCTTGAGTTCTTGAATTAGACATGCTAGGTCAAATTAAATACATAATTACAAGATTAATGGTTGTATTATATGTTTGCATGTCCAAATCAGTTAATTAAATAATTCATTGGGAGTTCCATTAATACCGAGTTGGAATAGTGTTAAGTGTACCTAATAGTCCTAGAACTACTAGCAAAGTAGGTTGTAAGTCCCCTTTGTGGGCATCAGTTTAGTGATCATGCTAGCTTGACTTTATATCTCTGGAAGGATATATTGGGCCTTCTCGATGAGGCCTATACATCGAACTCCACATTTAGCTCACGTGGTTTTATTATCAGTTATAGTAGCTCTGATAGATTAGTCAGATTCCACTGTGTTGACCATTTATAATATATCCAGTATTTAGTTTCAGCATGTTATAAGTTGGTCAGTGCATTCAGTTATCTCATCATTAAAAATTTATATATTGTTCAGATAATATACTTCCTTTTGTGCTTGTTTAGTAATGTTTTATTTTACCTTTATTCTATCCTACATGCTCAGTACCTTTGAAGTACTGATGCATACATGTGCTACATCTTCTCATGATGTAGGTTCAGTTTCTCAGCATCCAGATCAAGCATAGATCGATTCAAGATCTGTAGTTCAGCAGAATCACTTGTGAGTCCTCATCTCCGAGGTCCATAGTCATGAGTTGATTTCAGTCTTTTAGTGATTTAGTTTCTTTTTTTGCTAGACTTAGTTTGGGCTTGTCCTAGTATGTCTAATCAGTTAGAGGCTTATTTCAGACATAGTTAGTTTCAGCTCAGTATTGAGTTAATATTTCCTTTGTATTAAAATAATTGTTTTCAACTATCTCAGTTATAGAATATGGGTATTCCCCATCTTTTCAGTTTAAATTATGACTTAGCTTCCACATTATGTTTATTATCTTTAGAATGCTCATGATTATGCCAGCAGGGTTAGCTTGGGATCACTTATGGTCCTAGGTTTTGTGTCCACGTCTCAGGGATAGCTCGGGGCGTGACACCCTAGCTCCAAGAACACAACAAGTTTTCATAAGTTTCTGCCCCGTAATAGAAAGATTTCTCAATGGAATTTGTGACGAGGTATGTGAGATGTCACTAGTGCGCCCCTTTTACCAATTGAGTCCTTGGTTTCAGTCATATTCTTGATTCCCTTAATGTCATCTCAAATTA